CAGCAAATGCAGAAGTGTCGCTGCAAGTGCAAATAACTGCGGCTGCCAGCGCCCTGCTCTGCCCGCATCTCCTCAGCAATGAGAAGCCCAGGAGAGCTGCAGGTATAATGAGGTATAAAGAGATATAACAAGACATAACCCAACGCCATCTCTACCCCTGTTTCACAGCTCAGTTCCCGGTCACCCCGAGCTGCCAGCTCCAGTATGTGCCCCTGGCTGCTCCTGTGATCTCCGAGCAGGGAGTCACCGTGTCCCTGCAGGTAAGCGGCTGCTCTCCAACAGGCACTGGCCCTGCTCCCATCCCGCTCCAGTGCCTGCGTGGCTCCTTGGCACCTCCTGGGCAGTGCCGGGATGTTGGCTGGAGCCCCTGGTCCCGATGTGCTGCGCCACCGTCTCTCCCAACCCGTGTCCCCGCAGACGACTTTCCTGGTGGCAGGGCTGGCGCTGCCCCTGCCCGCCAGCCCCACACCCTTCACCATGCCCGAGGCGGCGAGCGCCAGCGCTGCCCACCTCACCCTGGCTCTGTCCACGCACTTCTACACCGGCCTCTTCTTCGCCCTGGAGACGCTGGGAGCCTTCAACTGAGTGCAGCGAGCGAGCCATGAGCGGACAAGCTCGTGTGCTTGGGGGCACAGACTTGTTCTGCTGCGTGTGCATCACCCAAAGGAGCTGCATGGGGAAGGGGACACCCAGGGCACGGAGCAGCTCCTCCGCGTTGCTGCCAGGCAGGTACCGAGCTGCATTTTGCCTTCTAGACCCCGCTGACCACTGCCACGATGGCACAGAAGATCAGCCAGGTTCGTAGCGGCGTGTGCGCCCAGCGAGTGCCACAGCGAGCACGGGGCTCCGCTGATGGCCACGCGCTTGCTGCAGATCGGCTCCCTCTTCCAAGAGGACCGGCCCGTGCTGCTGCGTGTCGCTTTCCGCAGCTCGCCGTGGGTGGTGCTGGAGGAAGGCCACAGGGCGCTGAAGCTCTTCCTCACCGCACACGTCGGCGTGGGCTCCCCGGACTTCCAGAGCTTCCTGAGCGTGAACGTGGTAGGTGAACGCGCGGCGCCCACGGCTACCGCACAGCCCTGAGCACATGTGATTGCCAAATGAGAGTCTGACCTGGTTCTGGCCATCGCACACGGGCTGAGCTCAGCCTTGAGCCTGGTCCCCAGCAGCCTTGGGCTCCCATGCCCGGCACGGGACGCACTGCACGAGGCCGTGCCCGGATGGGCTCCTTGCTGCTGGCCTTCAACAGGGAAACAGGGCCGTTCCTCTGTGCTGTGGTTCTGCCACTGCTTTTCTACCTGCAGGACATGTCTGCGGGGCTCCTCCTTAGTGTGGCCGATGTGAGGATGATGATCTCTGCAGCAGTGATCGAGTAAGGAAGCGGCCTCCCCGGTGCAGCCTCCGCCGGGGCGTGGGGGGCGGCAGGGGACGGGAGAGGGCCAGGGTCCCTCTTCCTTTGCAACGTGGCCGTTGCAGAGGTAGCTCCATCCCAAGGGAACGAGCAAGAGCCCAGGGCCGCATTAGCTGCGCCACTCACCCGCTGCCAACCTCAATCCTCTGACAAAACCTCTGCCTTGGCGACTTGCCCAAAGGGCCTCCACGCAATTCCCGGCCTCTGCCGCTTTGTTTTGCAGGGACATGGAGCTGAGCCTGGCCTCCTCCGATGTGGGCCCCGTGCCGGTAGGTGCCTGCATGGCCGGGGCTGGGAACGGCCCCTCACGGACCGGGAGCGTCGCGGCGCCTCCGGCCCGGCCTCCCCGTGGGCTCCGGAGGCCACGAGCTCAGCGGGTGCCTCTCCCCCCAACGGCGGACCCGC